CCGCATGTACCTCATTCCTTGGTCGCCGCCTATCCTGCTTGACTTTTTGTCCTTCGACTCATTCCAAGTTGACTTTTACCTTGACGACTTTTTGCCGTTGGGCTGTTTTTCGCTCCACTTTTCCTATCGACATACGTGGGAGAATTAGCGAACTCAACTGTCGCACTCAGCAGGACGTGGCCACATGCAGGCAGAGCCGGACATGCCCGCCAGTGCAGTTGCATGCTGTCGTCTCAGCAGAATCGTTCCAACCTGCTTAGCTACGCCCCCCGCCGTCCAGTTCCGAACGTCACGCTCAAATATCTGCCCCGCGGAGGTGCCCGGCGCAAACTCGCGACTTCATCGTAATGCGTCGGTGGGGGTCAATGTGACCCCCACCCGAAGGTTTTTCCGGAATGATTTTCCAACGGCGCGATGTAGCCGCGCCAAATTTTGCGCGGCCGTAGACAACTGAATGGTGGATCTTTTCGTGTCAAACATTAAGATGCATCTAATAAGATCGCCGACCTGTGGCAGGTCAAACTCAGGCTATGATTTAAGCGAAGGCAATTTCTAGGGAATCGCTCAATCTGATGCAGCAACGGAGTGTTATACGAAGTCATACATCTCTGGGATCGTTTATTAGGCGGCAAAACAATTGATGCCATAAATTTCGCTGACCTAGGATCAGGTAAGAAGCTCAGAGCGCGGTAAAAAACAACCTGTTGTTTTACTCGAGAGCTTGCGGTATGGGGTAGTTTCTGGTACTCATTTTGAATCTCTTAATCACAGGAACCATATCATAATCTTCTATGGACTTCTTTAAGGTCAGAACAGGTCACTGGCCTAGGACGACTCATCTTGTCAAACGTGTCGTTTTCAATCATGCGAAGCTCACTGTATATCAATACCATTAGGTTTCCAATCTTGATCAACAGATAAGACAGTAGTGTCAGCCTCATTCCTCGGATAAAAACCAGGAGAATGGAGATATAGTAATTAATAATAATATATAATAGTAAATTAATAATAATTAAATAATAGTAAAATTAATATTTCGGCACCATGCCTTTATCGAGAAAATAGCAGAAGATTTCCACTATTGTTTCGATAAAGGCACGTTGCCGAAATATCAACCTAACTTTATTTCCATTCTCCTGGCTTTTATCCGAGAAAAAGGCTAATGCTGTCGTCTTATCTATGTGAATAATGTTCCTCGCTAATGCACTGAAAAACTTACGTAATCTTGATCAAGATGAAATTCCCGAACTTGGCATGCAAGCACTCTTCTCTGATAATAGTCAAAAAGCTCCACTTAAATTTGTTGGGAGCTGCACTTCCTATCAACGGACTCAGATCGAGATCAGAGTCCTCGCGAAACGCTTCTTGTTCAGTGGACACGAAGGTGTTGTGAATATCACCAAACATCACTGCGTGTTGACCTGTCAAGCTACCGAATGACAGTCTCACCGATCTCAAAGATCCTGTGCCTCCTGCCCAAGCAGTTGCGGACTTTCGGTAGAATTTGTATGCTTCTTCGTAAAATGATCCCTTTGTAGTCCAGGGTCAGGCATTATAGTGCTATCAGACCGCTTGTTCATGCGCTGTCCATCCTTCCGTCGCTTATTGGTGTGACGTTGACTTTAAACATCACCAGAGCCCCTGCACCGTCTGCAATGCCACATAGCAGAGCGCCAGCGCGAATGCGAGTCACGGCTGCTTGTTACATGCGACAAAGGCGTGCTTTTGGCAGCGGAAATGAAAGCCTGAATCCCAAGCCTTACCAACATTAATCACATTACGAATCGCAGCACATACGAATTGTCGAAGCGATTCGAACCCACCCACTCCGCCACTGGTAGGTTCGGGAGGTAGACGCTTTGAGTGGTTGAGCAACGGGGTGGGGTTGGGGGGGGGGGGGGTGCGGGAGGGGATGGATTTCAGGCTTCAATTAAATAAGCAAATTAAGTGCGTTCCAAACGCATCGATGCATCGGATTTTCCTTCCGCATACACTGAATCAGCAAGTGAACCGTGGCAATCGAGGTCTGGTTTCGCTCGATGGGGTTGATATTCCAAAAGGCATCGCCGCATGGTGGGCGGCGTCAGGGCGCATCTTCTCCACACCGTCATCTGACGAGTGCACGGCGGTCGCTGACGTCACTGATGGCGATGCTCTCCCCAGCGACGTCACCAGTCTGATTTTCTATGGGGGCGGGGAGGGCGCCGTGCCGGCGCGCAGCCGGGCCGAGGGGGCGGCTAGTGGGTCTGGCGGTTGGGTTCTCTGGCCTCCAGTCAGTCGACACGCGCGGCCGGAGGCAGGCGGAGCTCGTCACGCAGCCAGTGAGACGAGGCGTGAGTAGGCTGCAGCTGCAACGGTCAGCGGCCGCCGGAGACGCAGACCAGCGTGTGTGCTGTGGGGGTATGGTTGGGCCAGTGGGATGGCGGCGCACAGGTGGGCGGCCCACTCGCCCAGGGGCGTGTGGGCCGCCTTCTTCTCATGAGTCTGCCACTGAGGCGTGGTGATTCGGGTAGTGGGATGCTCAGCTCGGATTCGGTTAGCGTTGTATTTCCACTAAAATTTAAGCAGCCTGTCTGTAGTTTTCTTTCTTAAGTATTTCAGCCTTATACTTTGTAAGTCCGATTCGGAATATCGTTGGTTTGACATATGGACATCTCACATTGCATCAGCAGGTGGATATCATATGAGGCAAAAAGAGGGCCAAATCATTTTTTCATTACTTGTATTGGTCCAGAGGCTCAATATTTATTCATTCAGTAACCTGTCCAGAAACTAGGCACGACAGAAAATACCGAAACGTGTCGTAGCATACAATTCTGTCATTTATGTAAGCCTGTGTCGTTAAAAAGTTGACTAACGTGCTATCGCTCTTTGTTTATTCCGTTCAGTGGTCATCAAAGTTAATCTAGACAGTAGGTAAAAGCAACAAATGGTCGTTTTGAGCCCGACGATTAATTGATATCGAGGATAGGCGGACACTGCGGTCGGCAGACGACTCGTCCCATTCGACACCCACCGCGCGCGGTAGAACAGGGCACAGCTGCCGCGGGAACCCTCAGTTTACGTCCCATTCGACACCCACCGCGCGCGGTAGAACAGGGCGCAGCTGCCGCGCGGGAGCCCTCAGTTTGCGTGCCATTCGACACCCACCGCGTGCGGTAGAACAGGGCACAGCTGCCGCGGGAGTCCTCAGTTTGCGTCCCATTCGACACCCACCGCGCGCGGTAGAACAGGGCACAGCTGCCGCGGGAGTCCTCAGTTTGCAGTTCGCACTGTCACTACCACTCTTCACTCAGCTGCAGCACAGGAACACTTACAGAATCTGTGGTGGTGGCGTCTCACACCATGTCCAGTCTTGTCACACTTAGTTGGCTGACCAGCCTTGAAATGACGTGGCAGTCCAAATCTAGGCGAATTAGTTTGCGCGCTATCGCGCTCGACCTTAGGAAGCTACGCATTCTGCTCCCAATCCGAGTGGACCTAGCAGTGGTCTACACCCCTGGTCCACCCGTTTCCATTCCAAAGTGTGGGTTTAACCAATTACAATGCATCAAGCTAGTTTGGCTTGGCATGCACATGGAGCTATCTTGTTCTATGAACACCTGTTTCGGCCCGCTGGTATGACATGCAATTTACCTCTTACCTTGGGACGCTCTTACCGTGCGCTGAAAGTGGAATAGTTACCACTGTGTTTTACGCTAGAAAGTGCGCCCAGATCAACCAAAGTGTATACTAAAGGCTCATTTTGATAAAATGTCAGGCACAAGCAACATCGTCAAATGCGTGTAAACGGCTCCATTTCACCTCAGCTATAGCGGGAACATAAATCTGTGGTGCTTGTCCAATCAGCTCAAAGGGCCCAACAAATTTGCCGCATTGTGGTGGCAAGTTTGCCGAAAGCCAACTCGCTAGGCTTGCGCTGGATTGGAATGTTCTTGAATAGTGTAATATTATCAAAACTTCAGCCTTATTTCTGGCGTGCTGTTGGTTGTAAATGACGAGTGAAATCTTGCGAAGAAATGCTGTTGGTGCAGTTGGATACGACCATAGTAAATCTTATTGAAGTCAAGTTGTATCTTGGTAGTACTAAGCCGAGAGTCCTTTGAAAGAACACCTTAAAAAACACATTTGAAATATAAATTGTGGGTCACTGAAGAACAGTTTTTAATCTTTACTTTGGTGAAAGATAAACGCCCAATGCACCTATACACATGTAAGATCAAGCTCGGTCTGGAAAGTGACGGTCTCGCTTAAACTTAACTTTTGGTTTCATGGTCCGCCTCTAAACCACGATTTTACTATAGGTCACCGGAGCAGTCGTCTGTTCGCCCAGGCTGAGAAATCGGGATTGACCTGCTGTCTGCGTGTCCGCTGGGGCGGCCATCTTGAATTCAAGGTAATTATCAATACTGTCCCGCCATGGTATGGAAAAATAAAGCCAGCCGTGCGAAATGCATGAACGCTACTAAGTACATCTAACCGGAAACAAACTTAAGAGGCCAGGCGCCATTTTATGAAGGCCAGTGAGTTCTTGATAAGGTCGTGTTTTCCTCTGTTTTCTTTAATGACCTGTCGTCTTGGAACCTATTTGCCGACTGATTTGTTTGGTTAGCCTACACATGTACACCAAGTGTATGTTGTGTTGTCAGTTTTCATCAGACAAATAATTGATGTTCGATTGATAATACATTTTCATGAACAAAATATGTTTGATCAGAATTTGCCACACGATTCTCGCCTAATTTATGCTTCCAGGAATTTCTACCATTCGTCTGTCGCCAAGGACCCCTCTTCGCAAAATCCAATTTCAGCGCATGCATGAAAAAGATAGTAACGCTCTGTGCCTATAGCATGAAAGTTCAGGACAATGCCGCTCTTTGTCTGGTTCATTCCCTATGCAACCAATCCACGCACAAGCCAGTGGCATTCTGCGCCCAGGTCACGTTCAACCGGCGCCACTCTGTGATCATGTACTATAGGGCGATCTATGCCTGTAGGTCATGTACAGGACCATGCTGCTGCTGGCTGTGGTGGCGTCCGCGCTGTCCTTGCGCCAGCTGGCCACGGCCTCGTCGCCGGAAATTGTCCGTACCACGCGCGACCGGGAGGCCATGTTCAAGACGCTACACCTACTGCGGGAGATGGAGGACGCCTTCGGCAAGCTGTCGCGGCCCAGGTGAGCCCGCGCTCCAGCCTGGTCTTCGCCACTCGCTGCTGGCAGGCCGAAGTCTCGACCGACGGGCGGGCCACCAGGGGGTATTTCTCGGCTGACGGGGCGGGTCACCAGGAGGGTATATCTCGGCTGACGGGCGGGTCACCAGGAGGTATATTTCGGCCGACGGGCGGGGTCACCAGGAGGTATATCTCGGCCAGCGGGGTCTCGGCCGACGGGCTGGTCACCAGGAGGTAGCTCTCGGCCGACGAGCGGGTTACCAGGAGGTATATCTCGGCGGACGGGCGAGTCACCAGGAGGTATATATCGGCAGACGGGCGGGTCACCAGGAGGGTATATCTCGGCCAGCGGGGTCTCGGCCGACGGGCTGATCACCAGGAGGTAGCTCTCGGCCGACGAGCGAGTTACCAGGAGGTATATCTCGACCGACGGGCGGGTCACCAGGAGGTATATCTCGGCCGACAGGCGGATCACCAGGAGGCAAATCTCATCCACTGGGGTCTCGACCGACGGGCTGGTCACCAGGAGGTAGATCTCGGCCGACGAGCGGGTTACCAAGAGATATATCTCGGCCCACGGGCGGGTCACCAGGGGTTAGAAAATGAGAGTTGATGAGTGGGAAATAGGGGTTGGTCGACCTCGACACGCTCCACCTTTTTCGAAGGTCTTGGTCGGCTTTTACAACTGTCGCGATGGGTCGTTGAAAATCTTATTTGAGGAAGATAGTACTCTCTTAAGTCATGTGTCCGCGTTTTGAAAGGACAGTATGCTTTACTGCATGCCCTATTTTCGCAAAAGCAAATGTTTCACTATAAAGCTGCTCACCGTTGGATGTCTTCTTCATAAGATGCCATGCCGTTTCTAATTAGCACCAGCATTGGATTGTTGTGTAGTAGTTTCCGTGTTTTCGCCGCCCTGCACCTTCACCTTCGCACCCTTGTCGTCTCATCATGCACTGTCATTGCTCCACGCACTGCACTGTATGCACTGTCACTTGAAGATTCCTCGCAGCACGGAGAACATTTGTCCTAATGCTCAGCAATGGAAGTCTTAAGATGTGCAGTGTTCCAGCTCTGCTCGCAACCTTATGAAATTATCAGATGTTTCAGCAAAACATTTCGATCGCTGAAACGCGGTGAAAAGGAAAAGCAGAATACTGTTTGGGCTGACAAGCGCGTCGACAGCAGATGCCATTTTGTAAAGGCATTCCTTGTTGAAATGAAGTTTGACGCATACAAATTTCACTTTTAAGGACTTAACCGCAATAGAAAGTGGGCAAACAATGTCAGTCACGAAAAAATTTACACACCATGTGAAATGCATAACTGGGGATTTTGCTTTGTTGTTCCATAGCATGGTGTTGATAACACCATGACTGTTCCAGTCGTTGTGTCTTGGGTTCCAGTTTTACACAGCATCCCAGTTATTTGTGAGGTCGAGGCGCGGCCTGAGCATTCTCGGCCCATTTGATGCCAAGCAGGCAGTCCATCAGCACTGAAAACCGCTTACTATCTTCTTCAGCTAACAAATGGACGTCATTTTACTCTACTCACAGTTTGGAATGACAGTTGAGAGAGGGAGAAAGAGGGGAGGGTTGCGGATGGAGAGGAAGATGGGGGAATGGAGGAGAAATGAGGAGGACGAAAAAGAGTCTCATCTCACGACGTTGATTCCAAACGCTGTCCCGGAGAGTGATCAGCGATCCGGCTGTCCCGGACAGTGATCAGCGATCCGGCTGTCCCGGAGAGTGATCAGCGATCCGGCTGTCCCGGACAGTGATCAGCGATCCGGCTGTCCCGGACAGTGATCAGCGATCGGAGCCGTCAGCACCAGCCACCCTGAGAGCCCACCGGCCTCCTTGACGGAGCCAGGCTCGAGAGGCCCCACTCCGCCGACGCGGTGGGCTCCCAGTTCGCATCGCATGCTCTTTCGCGGCGCACCAGCGCTCGTTTGGGTTCCGTGATCGGTGTCATGACAGCTCGCGGCATGATGATAATATTCATGCGGCGCCCGGTATGTGAATAAGGTGTAAGGATAGGAGGGTGCTTAACTACACTCGGCTCGCGACTGTCTACGTCTCATGTCTATGGTCTGCCCAAGGCTATAGAAACAAAGCAGAACCCCCGGTCTCCGTAAATGTAGAGCCTATGGCTTTGGGAGAAGGCCGCGAATTCGGGCATCATACCCATTCTACATCGGTCAGAGGAAGTCATGTCGTCACAGAATTAAACCGCGGTTCCCATGCCAATAAACCCCAGATTTCCATCATGAGAGTATGTTCAAGGGCTAGTATTGGTCTGCGTTACGCCATATCCAAAGATCCTGAGGTGGAAAAGAGATGATTGCGAGCGTTTATGCACCTAGATGATGTGCTGACAAGCACTAATTGCGCATAAATTCTGCTGTTCAACACGGATGGTTTTCATATAACGGACGCATCATATTTTGGCGGTCAATCTGACGCGGCAAGACGAATGACCATGATGTCAACAAAATCTGCGTGGGATACTAGGAGCATGGCGTGGAGAGTGTTTCAGGAAACAGGAATGCAAGAATGAACAGAAAATAAGTGAAATGTTATGCTTCCAATATCGGTCAACCTGCGCTGATACATCCTGTAGTGAAGCGCTGAGGCGAATGGAAATCATTAGTTGCAATGTCCAACGCTACGTGCGTATGTCCAGTGCAAGACAACTTACAAAATTCGCTATCTTTGGAAAGGGTGCCAGTGACTTGTCGGGATTGGTAGATTTTTCCACGGAATCAGCACCCACGAGCAGGGAATATTCACTCTGAAGTCAGCCGATAATAGATCCGCCTTAACACCCCAATAAACATTACCGGCTTTTGATGGATGTGGGATATCACGTTTGAATCACTAATGCTGTATTCGGTTTTGTCCTTGCAGATCCGTTACCAGCAGACATGCGCCGGACTTCCAATGTCGGTTTTCCGGTTCCCACTCCTCCGAGTGAAACGAAGCCCATGCAGTGATTAGTTCCAATTGGTTTGTCACAACACCCATGTCCTCGTTTTTTGATTTCTATTAATTCACGTCAGAAACCCTTTGCTCCGGACCGCTGTGTTTGTCACTGGCTCATTCGTCAACACCAACTCGAGCTATCATTTGACAATATTCTTTTATTGAAATAACGTCTGAGATCAAAGATATCTTACATAAATTCCTAACATTTATATGTACACAGTGCGTAACGCAAGCTCATCAAGGAATGCATACTGGTTTGTAACACCCTATCCAAGTGAGATCCTGGTTGTTGTTGGTGTCAGACTTTATACTGCATCTTGCTTTTTGCTATTCTCATCATATGTCAGGCTGCCTCTAGGTTCTTGCGGGATCTCTGGCCATATTATTGGCTAAACATTCCCTGTTGGTGGATCTAGTGGCACAAGAAGCTGGGTGTTGGTTCTTGCTGGATCCCTCTGCACACTTTAGATCGTTTATTGGATTCTTGTTGGATCGCACCAGATCACACGACAGTAGTGTGGTCAGCGGTAGACAGCAACATGGTCAGAGGGTTGCCGGGCAGACCTGCCGCCAGTTCAGTCGATGGTAGCTCCTGCTTACGCCAATACCAAAGTAACCGCTTCAGATCAATAAGCATCTTGCAGCCGTCGACGGTGGGCAGCGATGAAAGCGGGGGAGTCTCTTCGTTTATTTGAAAAGATAATCATTTTTCCAAGATGGGTCAAGGGCGCTCACTTGTTTTTACATATTCTTACGCATCCTACGACATTTAACACCGACCCAAATGATGCTCCACGCCAGGCAGCACACAGATCACTGACACGTGATAGTTCCTTTAGTACTCCATAAATAACGTTCAGGAAACTTCATCTCATTGTTAAAAAACACCTGTGTTAGCACTTACGCGTAGATGTTGGCAGAGCACCGATGCTTACGCCCACCCTAGTGTTTCATTCCAAGCCTTACCTCAGAATTTTGATTTGCACGGTCGTAAAACAGCATCACATCACTGCGCCGGATAGCCGTCAAACAAAACGAGCACTTCAGATAAAAAGTGAACGGCATGTGGAGCGATGGCTGGGTTCCATTGCTCCTTACAGGTCAACTCTAAGCGTAGCCGACATTTTACGCTTTAAACCAATCAGATGCATCTTAAAACGCCGGTATTTTGTAAAATACTGGCCGAAGTAAAAAGCGTCAAGTATGAGATTTCCCCCATGCCGGGGGATAATCATCATGGCAACCGGCGCTTCACGGGGTTTCAAACTGTGACGACACCAATTCCTCTGACCAATCACAAGGCTGGACTAACGTCGGAAACAGTGACACTTTTTGTAATGCTAATGACACCGGAGCGCATCCCCCCCTGGGTATGTTCATACTTATTGTGTGCCGCCATGGGCGAGAACTAAGTCGGATCACTTTATGGTGCTCCATTTTGCTACGAATGCTCCAGGTCGCAAAGCATACATCAGAGTCACCCTGCATTCACCATCAGCTCAAAAGGTCTTTAATTCTTATCTGCAACATCTGAGCCAGCTGCGAACAATGCTGCCGTCAAGTCTGACACATGCAGCGGTGCAAGGATTTCACTGCGCGTTCTGCCTCTCTTGTAACCGTAGAGCACCTCTGCACTGTAAATGACTGGCCACCTTGAGTCGACGCCTAATTTAGTAGCTAAGAGTTGAGCGGTGACCTTTGGAGACTGTCCCGGCCACCAGATGGCTGTGCATTCTGATGAAATGCTGTGTGTAGTGGCGCGTCCTCGAGTGGAGTCACGAGCAAAAAAAAAAAACTTGACTGATGCGCAGTGGTTGAGTTGCGGGTTGGAAGAGTACGCAGGTGCCTTCTGTCGAGTCAGCCCAGATCTGTGACGCTTTTTGTGCACAGAACTTGGGATTTACCTGGAAGTCAACAGCCTCATATTTTGTAGAATTCCCTAAGCAACTTCTCAGAAAATATCCTAGTGGAGGGCACAGATGAAATCCGCAGAAAACGGATGACGGCGGACAACGAATGATGAAACCCATACAAAAACGACAAAAAGATGAGATGACAAAAAACAAAACGACTGAGCTGCGCAACTCATCTGAGCGAAGCTCCCGTTCCCCGCCCTGAGCGTTGTTGCTTTGCAGCTGGACCGTCGGGACAGGGCGTCAGCTAGGTAGTGAGCTGCCAACGGAAACCCTCTGGGTACAGAGACGGGCTACCGGCAGAATTAGCCCCGAACAGTACCTGCGGCTGCTGAACATCGACAGGGAGTACTCCCACCGGAGTAGACCTAGGTAGGTCACCGGTCGCAGGGGGGCACCGGTGTTCATTGTCCCCGCTCAGGTCATCAGGGTCGTCGTCCCGGTTGCCGGGGTCAGTCCAGGTCACGGTCACTGGAGGTCGTGTTCACGGACAGGATTGTCATTTCGGTGCTAGCATCGAGTGCCGATCCCTACAGCCGGCCAGCGCATATGACGCAGAACATGAACGACTCAAAGACAGGGGCTCTTGTGCATGCCGCACGGAGCGTGAAAGAAGATTGCTAACCATCATCACGCTTATCTACAGACTGGGTCTAGAGGGAGCTGATCCCACCTTTACCGGCCACAGCTTTCAGTTCGGGATTATCGCTGCTGTTAGGCGTGGCGGCTATAGTTCCTTGTTTATTTTGAACTGACGATTCTCGAACCAAGCTTTTGAGAGACAGCGGTGAATTGACTGACGCTTCCGTACCTGACGGGTGATGCTGCATCTAATAGAGCGCTTAAGGTGCCGCTCAAAATTTGACGTGCACCTGTAGCAGCCTATCCAATTTATCCTTCTGTCATGCCCGCTTTTGTTTCACTACGTTCTCGCCGCAGGGCTTAAGCTCACATGGGTTCGCCGTATTCCATATTTTGATCGGTAATTTTCATTCAAGACATTCATAATTTAGTCATTCAGTCGTCAAGTTTCTTTCAGTTCGTGATTGCTGCTCACATGACCAGACATTCTTGCCATCTTCTTCGTTTCGTGTCCGATCTGCAGCCCGCCGCGCCTGGTGGGCTCATGATTGACACACGGACACTGACTGCAGACTTCCACATACTCCTCCCACGTACCCCCCCCCCCCCCCCCAGCCTACCGTGCTCAGTAAACACGGATCATGCCCAGCACTCTGACAGCTTCCCTTCCCATTTCCGCCGGCCTTCGCATCCATCACTGGTTGCGGCTGGCACGCTGAAAGCCATCATTGTTTGAGGATATTTTGGTTTTCCAATTCAACGAATAGGACATGAACACAAGCATATATTTGATTTAATAAACAGGGCAACTGTGGTTTGGGCTATAGCAACTCCAGAACCTTCAATAATGAAAAATATACAATAACGTAAATATATACGTACGCATACAAAAGCCCCCGAAACTTTACCTTTTTCAATCAGCATGGCGAATGCAAGGCGTATGTAACACTATGTTCCACATCTGACCGCTGTGCGTGGTACGATGCGAAAAGTTGTTCCTTGGAGTTAACACTGGTGGTGGTCGGCTCCGTCGCATTTGAAAGCAATCGGAGCAGTGAGTAATATGGGCCGCCAAGCATGGTACCAATAAACAACCGGCTCAGCAAATAGATCATCTTGGCGAGGAAGAACCCCGCTGCAGGTGATGTGAACTCGATTTTTTTTCTCGGTGGCTGGTGATAGCCAGGTCCTTCATTTACATGGCAGAGCGGTACCGAGACCAAGCCTGGTTCAGCGAGCGGTAGGATCTTGCTGTTGATAATATAAACTCCAAGCTTGTGGAGGAGCAGCGTGGAGAGAGAGAGAGAGAGAGAGAGAGAGAGAGAGAGAGAGAGAGAGAGAGAGAGAGAGAGAGAGAGAGAGAGAGAGAGAGAGAGAGAGAGAGAGAGAGGAGAGAGAGAGAGAGAGAAGAAAGAGAGAATATAGAAACATATTCATATATATATTATATATATATATATATATATATATATTATATGTTGCGGTACCGCGAATGTTTCAGGTTATATATATATATATATATATATTATATATATATATATATATAACGAGACCAAGCCTGGTTTCAGCGAGCGGTAGATCTTGCTGTTGATAATAAATCCAAGCTTGTGAGGAGCAGCGTGAGAGAGAGAGAGAGAGAGAGGAGAGAGAGAGAGAGAGAGAGAGAGAGAGAGAGAGAGAGGAGAGAGAGAGATAGAGAGAGAGAGAGAGAGAGAGAGAGAGAGAGAGAGAGAGAGAGAGAGAGAGAGAGAGAGAGAGAGAGAAGAGAAGAAAGAGAGAATAAGAGAAACTATTCATAATATATATATATATATATATAATATCTATAATATATATATATGTTGCGGTAACCGTGAGCGAATGTTGTCAGGTTATATATATTATATTATAACCTGACAACATTCGCGGCTTCGCTGCGCATCGCCTGTGGCTTCATTTTTTTCTCACACTCATCTTAAGTTATCATACTTCTTTGGGGGCACGTCATCTGCTTTTACTTTTTAG